ATTCTTTTTTACCACTGTTTTTCTTTTGGCGGTAACCATAGTGGTGGTCGAATAGATCATCTTGTGCGAGGTGGAGAACCCTCACTCCGCGCAAGGGAGATGATCGCATCACGTTGTGTTAAAATGGTCAAGCACCCTCGAGGCGGTTACACAGTGCTTACAACTGTCTCTGGAAGTGAAAGCACCAGAAAATAAATTAAGTCATACGCAGCTGTCATCCGTACGCAAGGAAGTAAGCACAAGATGCCGAACACCCTTAGCAGGATGCAGCGCACCCTTCATGCGACTCGCCGAATATCTCACGGCGCTTCGCGCTTGGTGATGTGAGAGCCTGGTCCGGTGAGAACCCGGCGTGCTCCGTCCCGGACTTTGTAGGGATGCGAGGTAATGGTCTTACGACGACGGCATGCACGACTATGAGTACACACACACACACACACACCACACACATCGAACATCCCGTTTTCTCACCTGGAACTCCACACAGACCCCCCTCGCCACCGGCACCCTCGGCAACGTTACCGTCATCCACGGCGGCAGCCCCGACCACAACTGGAGCGGCCTCATCGTCCACCGTGTTCGACCCCGTCGCGTGGCCCCCGGCAGACGCCCCCGACCCTTCCGAAACCCCCGTAGGAGCCGACCCGGTCGCTGCCGATGCTCCCCCCGAACCGCTACCGACAAGCACAGAATTGCCGCCGCCGGCGTCGGTCTTGCTGCCGCCGCCGATTCCTCGGGTGGCAACGGCTTTCACGAAGCCTGCCGTGTCGAACCGCATCAGGCCGGCCTTCCGATGTTGGTGTCGTGGCACACAACCCCCCAGCGGTGTGTGTCCGGTTGCATATTTTGCCGGGACGTGCGCGTCGGTCCAACGCGATTCGTCCCGCGGTTTGTTGTTTGGTGCAAGGAGAGAGCGGAGCGGGCGGGATATAGCGGTGTACCGGGCGTGGGCGTAATCGAGCGGAGGGGGTGCGGAGGGGTAGGACGTCGGTACTTTCAACGGAGAGACGCGAGCACGTGGGTAAAGAGTCGGGAATCACTACCAAACAAAAAGTTCCGGCGACGTACAACTCCACGGCGCTCAAAATCGAGTAGTTGGCAAGGGGTGTACTCATACCCATAGTCGTGCATGCCGTAGTCGTTAGGCCATTGACCTCGCATCCCTACAAAGCCGGGACGGAGCACGCCGGGTTCTCACCGGACCAAGCTCTCACATCACCAAGCGCGAAGCGCCGTGAGATATTGGGCGAGTCGCATGAAGATGCGCTGCATGCTGCTAAGGGTGTTCGGCATCTTGTGCTTGCTTCCTTGCGTACGGATGACAGCTGCATTTGACTTAATTTATTTTCTGGCGCTTTCACTTCCAGAGACAGTTGTAAGCACTGTGTAACTGCCTCGAGGGTGCTTGACCATTTTAACACAACGTGGTGCGATCATCCCCCTTGCGCGGAGTGAGGGTTCTCGACCCCGCACAACATGATCTATTCGACCACCATTATGGTTACCACCAAAACAAAAACCAGAGGTAAAAAAAAGAACAAACGGTACCCTGGTTGCCGACTTCACATAGTGAATTGGCTTGTTTTACAACGTCGTTGCCAAGCGACGAAAACCCAATCCCGATGGCAAACACCGAGGGGAGGGGGGGGGCGTACTCATAGTCGTACATGTCGTAGTCGTTAGGCCCCCTGCCTCGACTTGAATCCACGTTACAATGTGGTCCCCGGACAAGGGGCCGCACAGCAAATGCCGGCCGCCCTGTGTGCTGCCGGTGAAATCGCGTGACACAACACAAACAACGCTCAAGTTGTCGAAAAAAAATCAACAGTGCCCGATGGTGCCCGGTGGAAGGCCGGCCGAACCCCTCAGCACGATATATGCAGCCCTACACACGGACCACTACCGTAGATACCCCCTTGTCAACACCGAAGGAAGCAAAACATGAGTACCCTCCCCCCTCTATTTCACGTATGTCTTTCTCCCTCCGTTTCTCACCCGTGCGAAGAGCGTGGTTAACTTTCTGACTCGCTACCGTACATACACCGAAAGCACCTGGTCAATCAATGGTCTTAACAACTAAGGCATGCAAACAATGAGTACCCCCCCCCGCCCTGCTCTCCCGGTGTTTACCATCGGGGTTGGGTTTTCGTCGCTTGGCAACGACGTTG